CTTAAAATGTAACCTTGCAGTAAATATATGACAATGAAAATCATCAGTAATTAAATACTGTGACACCTTTGCTTAGAATTCAATTTGAAAAGCAATGGTAAAAATTAAAAGTGTATCCTTTGACCCAACCATACCACAAATAGGAATCTCTATTAAAAAACACTTGTGCATGTGGATTGCTGGATAAAAATGGTAGACTAAAAATATTCATTTATCTTCTATACTTTCTAAAACCCCACTAAAGTTAAACCAATGGCATAAAAAAGATACATATGTGCAATGATAAGGAGAATGAAAGAGAAAAGTAAGGCAATGGATAAGTTTCAATAAAATTTTGAAAAGTAATAACTGACATAACCAGAACTCAAAAAGCCAAAAGCTAAATGCTTACAGGAAGAGGAGCTGAAAGAAGCAGAATTCCAAAATGCTCAGGAAATGTAGACAACTGGTATCTTTGAAGGTAACAATAAAGCTAAATACAGAAGCTTGTTTAATAGTTGATATTATAAAGAGTTTGACCTCAGATTCCCTCCTCCACTAAGGACTGTCCTCTTAACACAGCCCAGAACACTGTTTATGCCCCCAGACATTTCTGACCACCCTAGCTAACACCCTACACAAAAGATACGAGAATTCTTCCAGAGAAAAATGACTGACACTGTCTCCCAAAAAAACGCCCACAAATATTGACGGTTTGCCATCAAATAGCCAATCCACACTTGGATACATACAGTGAAGCTCAGCAGCTGAGGAGTTCAGGCCACACACTTAGAGCTCCCAGTCAGATTTCCAATACTTCACTATTAATTACTAACAGACAGTCAAGGGTCAGACATGCCAAAAAAGCTTCCTAACTTGAAAGAGACCAGAAAATACAAATCCAGAAAGGAATATAGAGAGAATTATCAAAGCCAGGAGCAAGAGTAAAATTTTTAAAAAAACAAAACTATAATAGTCTCAGAGAAATGGAGAACATATTTCATGTAAGAAATAAGAAGATGCTCTCTTTTTAAAAAAGTAAAATTCAAAGAAAATGATAGAACTTTGGAAATTATAAGTATAATAGCAAAAATATAAATAAAGTACTACAATGGTAGGAAGATACATCTGAGAAATTAAAACAAAAGACCGAAGAAGTGGAAACTAGGCAGGGCAGCATTTGTGCAATGCATGAACACTTGACTGAGTATCTTCCCAGAAAGGGTGCGTTTTTCTATTTTGCACAAAGGCGTCATAATTGCTAGCAGAACCCTGACATTAGAGAACGTATGAGAACACAGTAGAAGATTAATCCGAGTATTCTAATAAAAGATGAATATGCATTTAAGATAAGCAAAATGAAGGCAACACTTCTACATGCCTACTCAGAACCATTTTCTTTTTCTAGGAAACTGATAGAGCCTCTGATTTGTCCTAGTGTGCACCCCTTCCTCACCTAGATTGGGTAGATACTAATCGGCCTAATCATGATAAAGAGAAAGCAAAGGTATGGGTATATCTTCTGAGAGTCTTCTTAGAAAGATTTCATTGTTCTTAAAAAAAGGTACATCCTTTAAAAAAGGTTAACAGGGAAGAAATAATCCTTTTCTTTCAACTTCATACATATAGTTTTGTCTGAATAGAACTTTAGCGGTCATCTCGTGTCCAAGGGGGCAGTTAACTTGAAGACAAAGGAAGAATGTCAGAAAATTAGGAAAGAGATTAATTAGCATGTCCTTGATGGCATTACGAAGGTACGTAACTAACCATGCTGGAACCAACCTACTTCAGGACTTGCTGTTTAGAATATAATCCATTGCTTTATTTCTAAATCCATTTTAAGTGGTGATTTTACTAACCTACAGCCAAAAGTATTCCAAATGATACAAAGGTACAGAAAGGGATTATCAAAAGAATAATGCAATAAACTTTCCCAGAATGGACACACATAAGTTTCTAAAAGTGGGCAGTATCTACCACAAGAATTGTAAAATTTCATAATGCCAGAAATAAAGATTCTAAAAACTTCCCAAGAGAAAAAAATATGGGATAAAATACAAAACGCTGGGAGTCAAAATGGTATTTTTAAGACTTTTCAAGAACAACACTGGACTCTAGAAAAGAGGAGAGCAGGGGTTGTCAAACTTTAGTGTGTATTGAAACCACCTGAAGGGTTTGTAAAAACACAGATTGTAAGGCCTGCCACACTTCCCCATGCCATATATCTGATTCAGTAAGTATGAGTGGAGCTCAAAAATCTGCACTATTAACAAATTCCAAGGTGACGCTGATGCTGCTGCTCCAGAGACCACACTTTGAGACTCACTGCAATAGAATAAATCCTTCAAAATTGTGAGTTAAAACTATTTCTCGCCTAGTACTCTAAACCCAGCCCAATTATTGATCACATATAATGGTATAATATAGACATTTCTAGACATGCAATATCTCAAAATATTTCTTATCCCATATACACTTTCTCAGGAAGTTATTGTGCAGGTTGTATTCTAGAAAAATGAGAAACCAAGAAGGAGAAAGACAGGAATTCATAATAAAAGGATACAACACAGAAAAGAGGCTAAGGTAATTCCCAGAATAATGGCAAAGAGAAGTCCCAAGATAGCATCTGTAAGTAACAGAACTAGGGAAGAGTTAATCCAGATTGGAACAGGAGGACAAAAGGCTCTAGCAGCGATAATGCTAAGAAAAATTAAATAGAACATAAAAATACCAAATATGTTTTAAGATTCCGACAGAGACTGTAAAAAACTTGTGATATGAAAACAGAAGAATAATCAATCAAAAAAATGAGGCAATTACTACTATTAAGAATAACAAAAAAGTGTACAAGAAAGGAATTATACTCATAAAACATGGTATGTCTCACCTGTGAAAAATATTTACATTGTCAAAATAATATAAACATGTAATATGATTTTTTAAATTTCATGTAATTATACTGAGAAAATTAAGAAGCTAACAGAGCTAAAATCTCCTTGTCCAGAGTAGGAAGTTAATAGGTAATGTCAAAAAATTAGCAATCAAGAACATAACAAACCTCTTGGTCTGCATTTAGAACAAAAGAGATAAACTATATGCTGACTTAGTAACAATATCACATCAGAACTTTAAGCTCCAAAAGTAAATGCTTAACTCCTCCCCCTACTTGCT